CGTTCGATCCTGCGCTGTCGCGAAGCGATTTATTCTCGCTTTGCGCCTTTCGCGCAAATCCCCTTTTTTCGCGGACACTTGACACTTGACAGTGCAGGCGGGATTGGCGGGGGTCACCGCGCTCCTAAAGTTGTCCAATTTATTGGAAGAATAACACCGCCGATTTCTCCCCGCGTACGCTTTTATATACGAGAATGTATATTTCGAGAGACGATGCTCTCGTTCCGCGTCGACGACGATTCGGACGTGTAACCAGGCTTTGACGGCGCGCCGCTGTGTGTGTGTGTGTGTGTGTGTGTGTGTGTGTGTGTGAGAGAGAGAGAGAGAGACGACATTCTCCTCCAGACGGCGCCGGCGATCTGGAGTCGGAGTCCTTGTTAGCGGAAAAATCCAAGACACGGCGCATCTTTTTCCTCTTCTCTCTGATCGAGAAATATTTTTGTCATTTATATCGTCAAAAATATCGTGAAAATAGCACGATTAAATCAATTATACGTATACGTACACGTGCGCATCATAGAGCGATGTGTGATGTACGCTCAATTTCCACTATTTTAAATTAGCAACTATATTGAGAAATACAGCTACGTATAACAGCTACGGTATATGTAGCCATATGAGAGAATAGAAGCAAAGACGAGCATTTTGAAGTAAAAAATTTTTATTGTTAAAATCAAGATGTCTCGCAAAAATATTGCAAATACAATATATGTACATGATAATCAGCTAGTAAGATCAAAATTACGAATCGGAATAATGTACACATATTAATTTCAGATTTTTTGAATCTTTCCCTTTCTCGCTGTTTTGACGTAGACGACGTACTACACATCGTAGTTTGAGTTGACGATCGCGTGACAATTGTAGAGTATCGCAAGCAATGGCGGCAATACCGACATCCAATGACTCACGAATCATGGCGCACAGTCATTATAACTTTTCAAGTGCAGCAGACGAGAGTTAAATTCCTCGTTTGGCTTCCTGAGTATGCCTGTATGCAACATTAACCAGAGTCTCCCCTCTTCTTTGCATTTTTTTTTTATCAACCTCTGTCGAGAGATGGTAAAAGCCGAGTTGGGTTATCGGAATGACACTTGCGGCGTTACAGCTTTTAACGAGGTCGCGTACAGTCTTAACAGTCCGTTTTCCGATCGCTTCTTGCTGCTGTACGTACATACCATACATACAAACGGATCGAATGATTGTGATAAAAAGATTTACGCGGGAGAACAAAGATTTCTTTCACGTTCAAAAAATTTACTGATTCATACTTTTATTTAACCGATTGTTTTTTCTTTACAACAATTAGTCTATCTCAGCTAAATAGATACATCTATATTAGCTAGAGATATCAGTAGATAGGACAGTATATCGTTAATGTAACGCACATTGCTTCGTTAGTTAACGTTTTAACAATGCAGTTTTGCTAATGCACATCATCGTCGAATATAATAAGAGTTACGCAAAGAATCGTAAATGATATTGTAAAGGAGAACGATTGCTTATTTGCGCTTATTTGGGATATTTAAACATAATTATATATATATATATAATATATTTAACATTTTCCCCCGGTCGTCACGCGCGCGCTCGTTTTAGTTTCAAGAATGTACATGTTTCGTTCGAGCACACGAATGAATATCTTTATTTTATTTGAGAAAACGAAGAAAATTAAAAAGACCGAAGAAATAAGTCTCCGGAAGGGACTCGAAAGAAATGGAGAATCATCGCTGGATTGTCCCTTTTAATTGGCTTAGCTCTGCACGCACTCTTTCGTTCTCATTCTCGTTTAGATCCGACAGACACGAGCACGTCCTCTTAATTGTCGACGAGAATTGTGCCCGTCAAGCGCGAAAAACGAGTTTCGAACAGGTTCGCAGGCCGCGCGTGAGAGAATTAAGGAGCGAATAAGTTACGTTGTTATCCTGCTTATCGCGTACGCCACATCGAGACTGCACCGTGTGCCCAATGAAATGTCGTTGGAAAGATTCCTTAAATCGTTCGAAACTGTTCGAAACCAACGCAGAAATCAGAATCATCACGAGGCGTAATCAGAGCGAACCGCAGTCTGTAATTCTCTTACAATAGCTCGAAGAAGGGTCGCCGTGTACTTTCACACACAGAGCTACGCATACAGGGTTACATTCTGTCTGCGTGAATTTAATCAGCGAATTATCTTCGACGCGCAAGCAAGCCGGTTGAAACCTCGCGATACTTTCGTTAAAGCCAATGGAAAAGATAATTACAACTCGGACGTAACAGCCGTTTTGAAAAACGATCCTAGCTACTTAAATTTTTACGTGCGTTCTAATTCTTACATTGTTCTTATTAGATAGTTCAGAATTCTTATATAAAAATATATATATAACATATATATTCGTATAAAGTTAAAAATAAATGTTAATACTGTCATTAAAATACTGTCGAGTGTTATCTTATCTTTTGCGTAATAAGATTTGTCTGGCTGGACAATTCTAAATCTGTTTCGCAAATTTGATATCGAGCTCTCTTTATTGAGCTCTCATATAATTATATATCAGGGATTCATCCTACGAAGGAAAAATATAAAATTCTTCATCCCATTTATCAGAAATTCTTCATGTCTGTATTATGGTAAAGTATATTACACATCTATCTACTACCGGTTGTTACATACACAAATGGAAGGTAGAAGGCGACAGCGCGACTCGCGACGCATATTGCCGGTAAAGGATGAAATGAGAACTGATGAGAAAGTTTCGAGAACACTGAGCTTGACTTGGAACGCGTCAGGCGTCACGTCTCGAGCCTGATCTTGCGACGAATCGGCAAAGCGGCGCTTTGTTACGCAACAACTGGTGCTGGAATATAAATCAATATTTTATTGGCGCATAGAAATGCGCGAGAGATCAGTATTAAGAGTACTATACACAATTTTCATCGATCCGCAAAAAAAGATGACCTTTTAGAAGGGCGAATAATTTGCATGACAAGCATATATACTTTTTATTATATTTTGCAATTTGTTCAGCGTCGATCGTTTATTAGATTTAATTTCTTTCAACGTCAATCGTAAGCGAATAGTCTTTTCAGACGTGCATATATAAATTAGCGGTGAATGTAAAAAATGAGGAAGACGCAATAAGACACTGCGTTCTAGCTCTTACTCATGTGCGTGAAACTCGGCTGCGCACCGATTACCAGCATCTTTCTCTGCGACGAAAACGTTGTGGGAACTATACTTATAGACGTCTGGTTTTCATTAGCTCTCTGCGGCTGATTGAATTCCTGAGCGTTTTGTCTATTATCGTTGATACGTGCGTTACGTCCGGATGGAATACCTTGAATATTATTATGTTTGTTTTGATTACCGAACTGTACATGTACCACGCTTATCTGCAATGACTTCAAAGTGAATAACAATAAATTTTTTTAGCGTAACGCGCTTCAAATAAACAAACGACGAAGAATTCAGAATACGTATCGTTAAAAGACAGCAATATTAAAAATATACAGGGTGTATCAAAAACGTACGGGGTGTCTGGAAACGGTCGGATATCTCGAAAGCATTTTTGAGAAAAATGTTTCAGACAAAAACTGTTGGGTTTAAAAAGATCTATTTACTGATCACATCCATTTGACCTTGGCTAGCGTCGCCAAGGTCAAATCGATTTTTTTAAATGGAACACTATTTTTGATGGCAGAATCTAATAGTTGGTGTCAAAAGCTTTTCAAAACACTGTAATAAAGTTATTTTTCATTAAGTACTCTTCGAGTTATAAGGCTCGAAAGTTACAGTATCGCCGGCATCAGTATTACGCAAGGTGTCCGACCGACGGCTAAAACCTCTTGCTGTTCAGGATCATGTCATGGATAACATTTGTCAAGACCAAAGCCATTGGAGGTTGTACTTTTTATTTTCATTTTAAGGTAAAAATGAATTTTTAGTGCAAAAATAAGAGGAATAATCTTCAATGGCCTTGATCTTGACAAATGTTCACCAGCTATTAGATTCTACCATTAAAAATAGGGTGTTCCATTAAAAAAAATCGATTTAATCTTAACCTGACCTTGGCGACGCCACTAAAAGTCAAACGGATGTGATCAGTGTGAATAGAGTTTTTTAAACCCTACAATTTTCATCCGAAACATTTTTCCCAAAAATGCTTTGCTATTCGACCGTTTCCAGACTTTTGATACCCCACATATATTTTTCGAATCTTCTACTTAAAAAGTTTCGACATCGATACCCGTGTATCCCAAACAAGCTCGATGCATTTAACAAGTATGCTTACCACAAAAATGACAGAAACAACGAGTAAAGCACTGCCTAGCCAAAAGTACCAGGCTTCTAAAAGATGACGTGATGCTCGCCGTTGCACTACGGAACGACGCTGCAAATTATAGCAGCGATGCAGATCGTGCGGACGATACGATCGGCCGTGCATACCCATACGTATGGCTTAAACGCATCAATGTCACTGTTGTTTCCAAGTTCGAAGCCGTTTCTATGTTAACAAAAGACTAGTGTCGTATCTATCCCTCGACATTAGCACATTGGTTTTCCCTGCTGTAGCGTGCAAGATGATTAAAAATTTATCGCTCGATCTTATTGGCGACTGTTCACTGCTCAAGTTTCCGTAACAAAGCGTCCGACCATAATTACATTTATGTTTGAGGTAGCGGATGCGCAACAACAGATCGATCAAGTTGTATTGAGATTGTAAATATTCTAAAAAGATGTCATAAAATTATATTTTGATGCTTCTGTCTTGCGTTAACACCACGTTTTACTTACTAAATTAATATTATAACGCGTGACGTATATCGCATACAAATTTTCTCAGTAACTCATCCTCGCAGAAAGTGATCCCTTGTACTAGTTTTATAAAAAAAAAAAAATCACGCGAAACGTAGTAGGATATTCGACAGTAGACTTGGTGTTCGACTATCGTTGACTGGACTGGACAGGCACAAAATAATCGATAGAACAAACGCAGTATGTATGTAGGTAGGTAGGTATGTACGTTATTCAAGCGCCAAAGCGTAATCGATCGATACGATAGGTGACCGAGCGAAACGCAGGTTATAATTGGCACGTCATGGCTGGGTATTACGTGCCGTTAATACCCAGCGACATTACACAGTTAACTGATTAAGATATTAAATATTATCCGAATTAATTACTTAATTTTCTTACTACTACGCTAATCGCTATAACATGAACAAGTTCATTTAAGAACAATGAAGAAATCAGTTTTTTTGATAAAAAAAGCTGATTTTTTTAAACCAATGTATTTATCATAGATCTCTCGATTCATAATAATACATTTGGTGATAATAATTGTAAAAGCAAATTGAACCGTTTATCATTTGTGTCCACACAATGTATAAATATAAGTCACGAATATTAATATTGGTTGCCATCATGTGGCGGTGGTGGTGGCGGTGGTCCTCTTGGTGGGAAGGGTGGTCGGAATTGGGGTGGTGGTGGCGGCGGTGGGCCACCTTGCGAAACGGGCGGCGGTGGAGGATGTCGCCAAGCTGGAGGTGGTCTTGGAGGCGTAGGCTGATATTGTCCAAATTGTGGAGGACCACCACCGGAAGATGGTGGCGGAGGCGGTGGAAATTGTCCCTGCGGCGGTGCCCCCACAGCCCAATGTGGTGGTGGTGGTGCCATCATCCTGGAGGCAGCTGACTGCGCCTGAGAAGTCGGCACCGGCATAGGCGGTAACGGCGGTGGCATACCGGGTGGTAGAGGAGGGTGCGTCGCCATGGACATTGGAGGGAGAGGAGGCGGAGGGATGTTTGCTGGTGGGAATCCACCAGACGGTGGTGGTGGGACAGGCGGCGGAGGCGGATGACCCATCGGTGGTCCAGGAGTAGACGGTGGTGGCGGCGGTGGCACGACCATTCCATGATGCATCACATGATGCTGGGGATGATGAGCAGGTTGATGGGTATTCGCGTTTGAATTTGGCATAGGTGGCGGCGCCAAAGGTGGCGCGTCCGCGAATAATTGATGCGGCCTGTCCGCTTGACTCAGAGGATTTTGAGCGGCCAGAAGTCTTTCGGCAGCACTACCGTGTCTCTCGCCCTTGGCATCGCGTTTAAAGGCATAAGATACCGAAATTGGCCGATTGCACAGATATTGACCGTTCATTGCCTCAATGCTGGCATCTGAGGCATCAAAAGAAGCAAAATTAATGAAAGCAAAGCCTTTCGAGTTACCTGTCTCGGGATCCCTCATTATCTGTAATGTAAAATTATTTCGCAATATCAACATAGCGGTCACAGAAAAAACAGTCGATTGTAATAAAATAAATTGAACGTACTTTTGGTGTTTGCAAAATCACGCCAAACGCACTAAATGTGTCATACAATAATTTTTCATCTACTTCTGGATCAAGATTTCCTATAAATATATTTGCTCCAACATCCAAGTTCTTCTGGTGTGCACTAGCCTTGTTTACACGAATAGGTTTGCCATAAAGTTTGATCATATTCATGATTTTAATAGCGTAATCTGCATCTTCTTCTCCCATAAATTCAACAAAGCCATATCCTTGATGCATTTGAGTTACTCTATCTTTCGGCATGTGTACATTAACTGAAAAGTAACTTTATATTTTACACATATCCATTTGAACTTATATTTTAAATTTGAAAAACTTAGTTATAGCATACAAACATCCATTTTCATTCTTGAATATAATTAAACCGAGTTTGTTTCATACATATCAAATATACAGGGTGCTTGATAAGTAACGATAAGACTCCTGCATAAGGGTATAGAGCGAACTAAACTGAGAGTCGAAAAGTCCTCTACCATTTTACAATTTCCACAATAATTAACAAGATATTAATTACTAAAAATCGCCGAATATTGGTTTTCAATAATTTTTTACTCAAGTACTATCAACTTTACAGAAAAACAGCAAGTAACAAAAATTGTTTATTTTCTTTTCATAGAGTTCTGAGAATTTTTTCAAAAATTTTTTGGTACCGCATTTTCACATATTGGTAAAAATAGTTGCCAATAAGAAAATGCAGTACTAAAAAATTGACAAAAAATTCTGAAAGTTTTTTAGATCCTCACGAGAAGAAAACAAACAATTTTTGTCTCCTGCTGTTTTTCTGTAAAGTTGATAGTACTTTACTTGAGTAAAAAATTATTGAAAACCAATATTCATACAGTGATTGTTAGTAATTGATACCTTGTCAACTATTGCGAAAATTGTAAAATGGTTTTCGACTCAGTTTAGTCAACTCTACCCCTATGCAAGAACTTTATCAAACATCCTGTATATATTTTTAAGAAAATATTAAAGGTATATGTACGTAGTCAAATCTACAGTGCCATATAAATTATTAGTTTACCGCTATAAATTTAAAAAATAGTCAATCAACATATAACACATAATAATGAATAACGCATATGCTTACCAACAGGTCCTGATTGAACAAATAATTCCCACATAAGAGATTCTGTGACTTTGTCATCCAAACCTCCAACGTATATTGTTGCATCTATATAAATTTTCATATGAAAGATGTAATAAATACAAAAATATTAATTTATTATGCATTTGAATATTTATATATGACATAAATCCTCTAACTAGGTACCTGCTCTCTAGCTGGGGAAAAATTGAAATAAATGCTGCAGAAATATTTATTTAAAGGAAGGATTTACGAGAAATACTATTTGAAATAAGTATTTTGCCTAGGATATGTAAAAAATACTATTTCAAATAAGTATTTTGCATCGTAAATGTAAAAAAGGCAAATAGTATTTACTATCTACATCAACGTTAGCTTCAAATAAAATACTTATTTGAAATAGTATTTCTATAGATGCGTCCTTCAAATAAATATTTCTGTTAAAACTATTTCAATTATTTCCCTGCACAGAAAA